TACTCTTAACCTGCAACTGTAAATATTTCAGTTTTCATAAACTGCAAAATTAACCCCTTAACCCCTTAAGGACAGAGCTTCAGAAGGTTGTCTTTCACTTAATGACAACGGCATTTTTTGCTGTTTGCGTTCAACTGCAATTTGCATTTTACTAATTTATTGCACCGACGCATATTATATACCGCTTTTTAAAGTACAGAAAGGGCTTTAATTTGATGTAATATATATATATATATACATAAATGCTTTTTTTTTTTTTAATACAATTTTTTTTTTTTTTTACAGTTTTTGCAATAATAATGTGTGCACAATTAGTGCAGGTTAAGGAAAGTAATTAAAAATGCATTTAGTTGTTCTGAATTACAGAATATATAATGTGTCTGGGATTTTCATTTTTTTTGGTAGTTACAGGTCACAAAGCACAAGGAGTAAAATAAACTTTGAATGTGGAGAGATTTTAGAATTTGGTATGTTTGTCTTGTAAGCTTAAAAGCCATCAAAGAAAACAAAATTGCCACACAAAAGTATATATTTATATATAGTAGACACCACATGCTATTTAGCTAAGGTTGTTTTGACACTTTCTACGTAGCCATTTCACCGCCAACCTCTGCTAAATATTGGAGTAAAATTGTGTTTTTTGGGGGGTTTTGGCACACAAACTTATAACAAAGAACTTCTATTGTGTATTTTGTAAACTTGGTGTGTGCTATTCCTGCATTTTGCTGGGCATTTTGTATATTTCATACGTGCCACTAAGTTTAAAACCCCCAAATTATGCTCAGCTAAGTCTTCTGAGTAAAAAGACATCCACAATGAATGTCTTTGGTACTATTTTGTGAAGCTACAGTGCCATATAGGAAACCAAGCCAAATCAGTTTTTACCGAACTTTGAATTTTGACGCCGGGCCTATGTGCAATTTCCAAGCATCTTCGCAGGTTTGAAATTCAAACTACCCCACAAAGGCCTACCATTTCTTAAAGTAGACACCCCAGGGTATTCCAAAAGGCATATTTTGAACCTTAGCGTGGGATAATTTTTCCGCTAGCTTGTACCAAGTGTAGTGGTAAGCGTTTTTTCTGCATTTTTGACAAACAAAGTGAGTTTGCACAGTATATTTTGCAAACCTTATGTGTACTACAACTATATAATACTTCATATTTTGCTCAGCTATGTCTGCTGAGTACAAAAATACCCCCGTATGTACCTTTGCCAGGTATATGTGAACATCGGAGGGGCACATTTGGGACACAGCCATTCCATTTCTTTTTCAAACTTTAAATTTTTACGCTGTGCCCATGTCCCATTTTAGAGTATTTTACCAGGCTACATAATCCAAATACCCCATAAAGCCATACCATTTCTTAAAGAAGACATCCCAGGGTATTTCAAAAGGCATATTTTGAACCTTAGCATGGGATCATTTTGCCGCTAGCTTGTACCAGGTGTAGTGGTAATAAGCGCTTTTTCTGCCTTTTTGACACACAAAGTGAGTTTGCACAGTATATTTTGCAAACCTTATGTGTGCTACCACTGTATAATACTTCATATGTTGCTCAGCTATGTGGTCTGAGTACAGCAATACCCCTGTATGTACCTTTGCCAGGTATATGTGGATGTTGAAGGGGCACATTTGAGACGCAGCCATTCAGTTTTTTTCTAACTTTGAAGTTTTACGCTGTGTCCATGTTCCAATTTGGAGTAGTTTAGATGGTTGGTTATTGAAACTTCCCCACAAACACATACTATTTAAAAATACACCCTGGGGTAATTCAAAAGGCATATTTTGAACCTTGGCGTGGGATCATTTTTTCTCTAGTTTGTTCCAGGTGTAGTAGTAATGAGCGTTTTTAAACGTATTTTTTAACTTTTTAAAACTTTTTAAAACTATTTTTTAAACTTTTGTTTTGCTTATTAATTTTTTTAAAGTTTCCTAAACTTTCTTAAAACTTTTTTTCAGATTTAAAATTTTTCTAAGCTTTTTTTTTTTTTACCGTTAACCCCTAACTAGCAGTAAGCAGCACTAACAGTAATTTCCCCATTTTCCCATAACTCCCACCCACCCCAGCTAGCAAAATATTTAATTATACAATATTTAAATTAGTTAATTAAATAAATTGAACCCCTGAGGGTTACAAAATAAATAAAAGTTAATCGTCAGGGGTTAAAAAAAATATTAGATCACAGTACAATACTGTGATCTGTATTTTGATCACTGTAGGCAGTGATCGACTGGCAGGGAAGGGGTTAATTTTTATTTGGACTGGGTAAAGGTTTTTTTTTTTTGTTGGTTTTTTTACTTAAACGTTATAAAAAACTTTTTTTTTTTTAACTTTTTTTACTTTTTAAAGCTTATTTTAAAACTTTTTTTTATGTTAACCCCTAGTTAGCCTAACACTAAATCCCCCAATTCCCCACTAACTTCCACCTTCCCCAGCTAGCTAAATTTATAATTTAAAAATATTTTAATTATTTAATAAAATAAATTTAACCTGAGGGTTAAAAAAAAAAAAAATCAGATCATAGTAAAATGTAATCCCTGCCAATTGATCACTGTAGTCAGTGATCAATTGGCAGGGAAGGGGTTAATTTTTTATTAAACTGGGTAAAGGGGGGTGGGATTTTAATTAAACTATATTTTTTTACAGGGGGCAGGATCAGCACTGATCTGTCTCCCAGCACTTCACAGTGAACCCGTAAGTACAGGGAGGCGAAAGGTGAGTATGCACAGCACATGTGCTCGCTCTGACATGCTGTCAGAGCGGGCACATGTGCTGGGACAGCACGAGTCGGTGCTCCTGGTCTGCCTCTAATACAGAGGCAGACCGGAGCACCATTAACCCCGCGATCGCCGCGATTGCGGCGATCTGGGGTTAATTTTAACTTGTCGTTAATTTTAACTTGTCGTTAAGGCAATCCACTGAGTGACGGACCTCGTCTGTCACTAGTCATTAAGGGGTTATGGACTGATCCAAATGTACACGTTGTAAACAAAACGTAAACAAAACCTGGCATTTGCGCTATATTTCTGTCCAACCGTAATTTACCTCTTATTAAATGCATCCCCCTTATTATATATCATTTTATTTAGGGGAAACAGGGCTTTCATTTAATACCAAATATTTAGTTATGAAACATAATTTAATATGAAAAAAATTGGAGAAAATAAGAATTTTTTATTTATTTTTTTAGTTCTACATGACATTTTAACTGTCAATGCCATAATACTGTTTGCTTTTACTGCAATAAAATACACATATTTGTATTCAGCAAAGTCTCACGTGTAAAACAGTACCCCCTATGTACAGGTTTTATGGCGTTTTGGGAAGTTACAGGGTCAAATATAGCACGTTACATTTGAAATTGAAATTCGCCAGATTGGTTACGTTGCCTTTGAGACTGTATAGTAGCCCAGGAATTAAATTTACACCCATAATGGCATACCATTTGCAATAGTAGACAACCCAAGGTATTGCAAATGGGGTATGCCCAGTCTTTTTTAGTAGCCATTTGGTCACAAACACTGGCCAAAGTTAGCGTTAGTATTTGTTAGTGTGTGAAAAATGCAAAAAACACCAATTTTGGCCAGTGTTTGTGACTAAGTGGCTACTAAAAAAGACTGGACATACCCCATTTGCAATACATTGGGTTGTCTACTATTGCAATTGGTATGCTATCATAGGGGTAATTTTCATTCTTGGCCTACCATAGGGTCACAAAGGCAACGTAACCAATCTGGCGAATTTTAATGTGAAAAAAATGAAACACAAGCTTTATATTTGACTCTGTAACTTATGAAAACACCATAAAACCTGTACATGAGGGGTACTGTTGTACTCAGGAGACTTAGCTGAACACAAATATTTGTGTTTCAAAACAGTAAAAAGTATCGCAGCAATAATATCGACCGTGTAAGTGCTGTTTGTGCGTGAAAAATGCAAAAAACTTCAATTTTACTGGCGATATCATCGTTGTAATACATTTTACTGTTTTGAAACACTAATATTTGTGTTCAGCGAAGTCTCCCGAGTAGAACAGTTCCCCCATGTACAAGTTTTATAGTGTCTTGAAAAGTTATAGGGTTAAATATAGTGCTAGCAAATTAAATTCCCTTTACTTTCGGCATGGGTTGTCAGGCAGGTCCCGCTAATTGTAATTAATTAAGATACCTAATTCTGTAAAAATATTACATAAATATATGTGTATATGTGTGTGTGTGTGTGTATATATATATATTTATATATATTTTAATATTTTTATTTATATATAGGTATATATAGTGATATATACGTATATAGATATATATATTTCGTTCTATGTGTATTTTGATATAAATATATATATATTAATGTCACAATACAGTTAGAACGAAATAACACACATCTATATATTTTTTAATTATTTATTTTTAATTATTTTTTTAATTTAATTTTTAACGTATTTACATATTTATTTTTTATATTATATATAAATATATATATAACAATTATATATATATATATATATATATATATATATATATTTTTTTTTTAAATTATTTATTTTATTTGTGCATGAAATTACAGTAGGCGTGCAGGGCCACGACAGCCGCTGCAAGCAGTTTCATATGATTACATATCGTGGCAGGTTAATCAGCACAGTTTTTTTTTTTTCATGAAGATATCAAGCTTTAAGACATTCTTGGTGTGCTAAATACATGCTAGGCTAAATGTGTACTTGTCATGAATGTTCTCACATAATGTGACAGTGATGTGTTTATAACTTAGCTCGGTAGGTATGTAGGTTCTCGCTTGGATGGTTACATGTGACATAGCATGATATGCTGCAGTGAGTTGTTAGTGTGTCAGCAATACCTATGTGAGTGTGAATCTATGCGTGCCATGTTAAACAATATACATTACAAAACATAGGTGAGGTCTGAGTAGGTCGCTTTGACAGTTCTGTCACCCTGGTGTGTCAAGGGGGTGCATCAGGCTTCCTCCATGGGAAAGGGCCAGCTTCAGGGTGGTCCCGAGCCCACATAGACAGAGGGAGTCCCGTATTTAAAACCTGCTCTGCTACTTTTATATGGCAGGGAGCGAACGTCCGTCAGAGCAGGCTTCCTGATATATTCCATCCGCGTTGTTCTGTAAGGTCCTCGCCGGTGTCTCCCGGGCATGGGACGCTCGTTGTATAGCCTGCCCCTGTTGATCGTCCAGGGGTTGATGTCAGACCCCGCCGGTGGCCCGGCATCCGCCGCTTGGTTATGCCGTTGTTCGGATGTTGGTGGTGCAAGCTGTGTGGCAGGTGAGTGCGAGGGTAGCTCGTTTGGCGGTAGGTCCCGCTTATTAGGATCTTTTGTGTCGCTTATATTCTGCCCATGTGGCTGCGGGGATAGGTGGTGGTTTTTCTGCCCCTCCCTGTTGCCGGGTCGGGGTGGTGGAATCCCGTGGTGTGGCGTGAGCTCGGTTTCCTCCTCACCTCTCGCGCACATGGCGCCCGCCATCTTGGAAGCCATTCTCAAGTCCCTCGGCTCCATTCGTGTAGTCTTGAATAGGGCCCTAGGGTGAGGACCGGGATCACCCCCACCGGTCCAAGGGGGGGGGGGAACGGGTCCGGATCCACCAGGGTTTGTGCCTCAGGCTGGGTACTGTGGAGCAGGATAGTGGGGCAGCGGCCGTCCGCCCCACTCACCGCCGGAGAAGGCCCCGCTCGTGGTAACGAGGATATCACCCCCGGGGACTGGAGCTCAGTGAGCCAGCCTCTCCCAAGGCACATCAGTCTCTCTGCTCTGGGCACTGTCGCTGGTGGTCAGTTGAAAGGCTGTAAGCCATGAATTTAAGCGTGTTTTTTGATTTTTTTTGCGGGAGCAGCTCATGTCTGTGGCCATCCAGCTCGGCGGTCCGAGTAAGTAACTAAAAACCGGAGGGCGTACTAATTAGTACGCCCTGCGGCGTTTAGAGCCGCTTAAAATTGGGTGTAATAGTACGCCCTCCGGTCTTAAAGGGTTAACCTTGTCGGGTTAACTCCTCCTATAGAGATTGTCTACTAGACAGCCACTAGAGGGGGCACTTCCGGGTTTATAGCACAGGTTTTCTGTGCAATCGCGTCGCTGGACGTCCTCACGCTATTTGAGGACCTCCAGCATCGCTAAAATCCCCATAGAAAAGCATTTCACAATGCTTTGCTATGGGGAGGTCTAAAGAGCATGCGCATTAGGTCTCACCCTGGCGGCCGCGCATGCGCAATCAGTCTCCTCCGCCTGATGTCGGCGGGGAGGAGCGTGGGCGGACCCTGAACCAGTGCCGGGGACATTGTTGCTGGATGCAGGTATGTCACTGAAGGGGAGGGAGAGGGACCTGCAGAGAGGGACACTGGAGTGTCCTTTTAATTACAAGAGACAAAAACCAGTGGGTAAGTGGTTGAATATATAGCAGATGAGCAAAAATGAGGACTCTGGAAGATCCTGGCAAGTCACAGGTTGTTTCATAGATCTTCCCTCTTGCAATATATCATATAGATTGTGCGTCTTGCTGGAAGCTCATGACGGCTGATGGAGGTGACAGAAGCAATGACCATTGACACATTATTTAAAAAAAAAAAATGTCAGATCCTAAATGAGACAAAGTATATACTCTGAGTTTTCAATAAAGAATCCATGAAAAGCTCCAAAGTGACAGCTCATTGAAGCGGTCTGGCTGCAATGTCCCATGTCCCTTAAGCTTGAGAAAGTGCAATAATTACTTCTGAGGGTTAACTCCTCCCCTAGTGGCTGTCTACCAAACAGCCACTAGAGGGACTTCCGGAATTTAAATAGACCTTTGGTTTGGTATCTGACGCTGGACATACTCACGCTATTGAATAGTGCTTTCCTATGGGGAAATCCTAATGCGAGCGTGGCCACTGCCGTGCATGCACATGAGGTCTTCCTCGCTGGCTGATGGCAGTGGAGGAGAATAGGCGGAGCCTGACTCAGCGCCAAGGGACATCGGCACTGGCTTCAGGTAAGTGACTGAAGGGGTTTTAAACCCTTCAGCGTTGCGGGAGTGGGGTACTGCAGGATTCTATAATGCCAGGAAAACAACTTTGTTTTCCTGGCACAATAGAATCATTTTAAACCAAAACACATCACACTTCCATATCTCCAAAATTTGGGAGGTGTGAGATTGGGAAAGGTGGGTGAGTCTCAAAGGGGGTATAACCTGCGACATACCGGTGGCATTCCGTCCTTTCTGAAAGTTAATTTCAAAAGCCAAGTGCTGCTTGGGGAACTAAATAGTCTGCACTGAAGGCACCTTTTGGGGTTAAACCACTTCAGGGAAGAAAGTGCTCAGGTACCTCCTGGCACCATAACAAAGTCCTTTGGATGAAGTTGTTATGGTGCCCAGAGTGTTCCTTTAAATTTTTTCTACTAACACTGCAATAACTAGAATGCAATAATAATATTATACAAACAGTTACATAATATAAACTCAGACACTGTATAAATGTTTTTGGTTCTATCAGTTTATATTATTTCTCCATTTCAATGTTGCTATGCAGTCAGTGCCAGTGGAAGGAGATGTAAACCCTGCCAAGAGCCCCCCTTTGATGGAAGAGCATGTTAATAGACGGTATGCTAATAGTGGTGTGAGATAGGGGGTATGATATTGTGTGGTGTGATACTGAGTGGGGAGATACATTTCATTCCATTCCCAGATCGCTGGACGTTCTATTCGGTCTCTAGGAACATTCCATCACTCTGTATCCTATCAGGGCAGCTAATGGGCGGTAACACTGTTTCCCTGGAGGACAGTGCAGGCAGTCAATGAGCGGCTCCGTCACATGGCGGCTGGTACTCGGTGTGTGCAGCACGGAATGTCCCCGGTACCCCGCGTTATGTCCTATTCAGTGACACTTCAGATTGTGTGCCGCAGGCTCCGCCCCCTCATTTCATTACTGAATTCTCCTGCTTTCTCTTCCCTCCCTGCAGGGGGAGGTGGGGAGCTGGATGGAATGGCAGGCTGTGCAGGGGGAGGGGGAGAACTGGATGGAATGGCAGGCTGTGCTGGGGGAGGTGGAGAGCTGGATGAAATGGCAGGCTGTTCAGGGGGAGGGGGAGAACTGGATGGAATGGCAGGCTGTGCAGGGGGAGGTGGAGAGCTGGATGGAATGGCAGGCTGTGCAGGGGGAGGTGGAGAGCTGCATGGAATGGATTGAGGGTGAATAAAATAAAGAAGAGTCGGGTTTTATTGATGTTAAACTGCAGTTTAGTTTGGGATAAAGTGTCTGTCAGTGTGGGGGAGATAACAGATACAGGAACTAGTGAGGCGAAGTTTGTCAGATTGGGGAGAGCAGAGAAGCCAGGATCTCCCACTCACTACTGAACGGTCTGACTGGTAACAATGTGTCAGCAGTTCATATAGTGAGCGAAAATACTGCGCGCGGGCTACTCCCTCTGTTTCGGGTTCGAGTCTTCTGATGGTGAGTTAGAACTATGGCCTTTATACCATTTATAGCCTGAGTGCATGCTATGCCCAGAGGCGGCCTGAGTGCATGCTATGCCCAGAGGCGGCCTGAGTGCATGCTATGCCCAGAGGCGGCCTGAGTGCATGCTATGCCCAGAGACGGCCTGAGTGCATGTTATGCCCAGAGGCGGCCTGAGTGCATGTTATGCCCAGAGGCGGCCTGAGTGCATGTTATGCCCAGAGGCGGCCTGAGTGCATGTTATGCCCAGAGGCGGCCTGAGTGCATGTTATGCCCAGAGGCGGCCTGAGTGCATGTTATGGACAGAGAAGGGAGAGGCTGCTGTTTAAAGAATGAAATGAGAGCCTGAGCCGGGGAGAGCAATGCGAGCAGGACCGGCCTTAGGCCTTTAGGTTCCCTGTGCGTAAAATCTTCACAGCGCCCCCCGTCATCCATGTATGATGTAATGTTTGTGTTGTCTGTGTATGTGATAGTAGGTGTGATGACTGTGTGTGATTATATATGCTATATGTTGGCTCTGTGTGATTTGTAATGGGTGTATTAACAGTGTGCAATATGCGTGTATTGGTTGTATGTGATATTTGTGTAGGGTTGATTGGCTGTGTGTGATGGTTATTTAATTCAGATAAAAATAGGCGGTCATGCGCGTGCAGACGGTCATACTCACACAGTTACCTGTGGAGTTAATTGTGGAGGCAGTGCAGCTCCTGGAAACTGGTTGTTGGGGAAGCAGGGACTCCTTCCTGTTTCCCCTGCAGCAGTTATCCGCCCCCGCCACAAATTATTTTTATTTTTTTTAAATTTTTGGCCGGCCATGTGTGAGCTGCTTCCTGGCGCCCTGTGCGGCCGCACAGCTCGCACACCCCTGAATGCGAGATACTGAGCCGGGGAGAGCAAGGGGCTGCAGGTGGATCAGCACTGCTCCATCCAGACAGGGAATCGGGAAGCAGACAAATACAGGTAGATACTGAAGCCCCCTGGTGGACAGCAAGGTAGAGGACCTGACTGGGATGCTGGAGCTGTGAGTTAAAATCCAGCCAGGTCTCTTAAAAGGGCGGCCACGCCTTGCTGTCTGCAGGGTTCAGGTTGCACCAAGACAAGGGGTGACCTCCGGGCGCCAACAGACAGGGCTTCAACTAGGGCAGGGCTGTCCAACCTGCGGCCCCCAGATGTTGCTGAACTACAACTCCCATGATTCCCTGGCTATCTGTTTCATTGAAATGATCATGGGAGTTGTAGTTCAGCAACATCTGGGGGACCGCAGGTTGGACATGCCTGAACTAGGGGATCTAGTTCAGGCTCAGACAGGGAATCCGTATCAATATATATCAGTATATATTATCCAATGCAACTTTGACTGTATTATATCTATTCTATGAGTACATTATGTAATGTATTTGATATTTTACTTAAAGTATGTGCGCTCCCCTTTTTTTTTCCTTTCTGTACACCTCTACACAATCTGCTAAAATGTTAATAAAATTGTATTTAACAAAAATAACATTACAATTTTATTTTTTAGAACGTTTTATTAGAAAACCGTTTCCTAAAAGCAGACTCTGAGAAGCAGTTGTCAAACACTATTCGGTAAGCTGAATACGTTTTATTATATTTGTGTCTGTCTAATGCACTCATACATAGGTGTGTTTTTGTGTATGTATACATATTTGTGGTCGGAGACAAAAGACCAATGTTAATCAATAAGACTTGATCTATACCAGTAATAGCAAGTAGGTAATGGTGTGCTGAAACAGACGAGCAGGTAGGCCTGAAAATTTGGGCAAAAATAATTAATACTGCCTAATCTCAGAACAAAATAGCAAAACCCACCCCCAATTATTAGGCCTGACTTGTAGAAACTTAGAATGTGACCGCAGATAAGAACCATTCGGCCCATCTACTCTGCCCAATATTTCGAAAAACTTTTAATTAGTCCCTGGCCTTATCTTAAAGGAACACTATAGTCACCTAAATTACTTTAGCTAAATAAAGCAGTTTTAGTGTATAGATCATTCCCCTGCAATTTCACTGCTCAATTCA